GCCCAACGGGAGCCTGATGTGGCCAAAAAGCCTCTAAATGCATTTCTTAAATGGGCAGTCATCCCTCTCTCCCCCAAGAACTTTTCCCCTCGGCTCTTTGCACTATATTCACAACTATTTTGGCTCTTTGCATATTGGGTTGGTCATTCCCGGCCTAGGAAGTGCCGTCTCCGCAGAGGGCCCGAAAGGCGTCAATTCGATTCCCTTGCCCAGGCAGGCGCTGGCATTAGTAGGACCAATTAGGGCCCGCGGCAGCGCACCTCCTGACAGACAGCGCATTGCTCAGTGTTTGACTAACAACAAAAGCTATTGATGGCAAAATACTTTAAAGCTAATTAATCCTAAAGGCGGCAGGCATTCAACATTAAGCAGATGGCATTATTAGGACTTTATCTGCATTTGCACATCGCACAGATTAGGTTTTAGAGGCCTATACTTTGTGTCTTATTGAGCACTTAAATAGGTAGGAGCATTACTTTAATGGTGAAGGGGGGACCGGCTCCCCTGCAAAGCTGTAAAGCAACGTCCTGGCTCTTTAAGCCTGGCTCAAGCCCGACCCGCCAGCTCGCCTGTCTCCGGGCAGGCGTTTGGACATCTTGTCAGTCCCCTTGACATCAACAGCTGGGAATGACAGATCAATGGTTCAATACTCTCAACAGCATGTCACCGACGTGACAGCAAATGTTATTCTAATGAAGCCGTAATCATAGTCAAATTACGCGGTTGGATTCCCAGGAGGGGGTGAGGAAGGGGGAGCAGAGGTTAAAGTTCAGGAGCTAAAGGTTATCCTGCTTACCTCAAGCACTTGCTGGAGACTTGGCTGCCCATCCACCATGCCTTGAATAATTCCAGTCAGCTGGGACAAAAGAGAGAGAAAATAAGAGTCAGAGGGAAGATCACACTGATAATTAGAAGGTCCCCTCTCCTGCCCGCCTTTCGGAAACCTTACGGCACTCTCGTTAGCAGCTCGAGCAATGCCACACCCTGTCACCTGCAGGACAGCAGCCCCGGGAACCGTCCCCTCGGTAAGCAAGAACACAGCGCGATTCCCGAAACCATTATGCAACGACCACTTACACATCCGCGATGAAATACGGCTTGGCTTCGGGGAACAATAGATCATTTTTTCCAGCCCTCCAGTCAGTAATACCCTGAACGCTCCCCGTTTCAATAGGCCAATCTTTTCAGTATCAGTGTTGCTGCTGCCATAAGTTACAAAGCCAGATTTGATTATACACACAAGCCGCCCTCCAGCATTCTCATGCTGTGGTGAGGACACAACCGAAATGCCTCGCAACAGATACACAAAATAAACCTTCCTCATCAAATGAGGTGAGTTCGTTTGTCCGACACTGCCATTAGAGAAAGGCGTATTCGTGCTTTATTTTAGTTTAAAACGCCCTAATTGTAAATTCTAAGCCTCAGGCACTAAAAATATATATTTAAAACAACGTAATTCCAACTGAGGAAAATCCATTTCATTGTAAAGGTTTCTCTGTAAGCTCTTTGGGACAGAGGCGGACTGTGGGGCTAACCCTGCACACATTTAAGCACATCCGCTGTATCACTGATGTCAGCTGGATGACTTGCATATTTCGCACACAGCACATGCATGAGTGTCCTTAGGGTCAAGGCTGGGGGCGGGGGGTGTCCACAAAGTGCCTGGCAGCGTTGGGAGTGCTTAGGACTTGTCCACACTACCGCTTAAGGTGATGGAAGTTACATCGCTCAGGCGTGTAAAAAGCCACCCTCCCCAGCGATATAAATTACATCCACTGAGAGTGGAGTTCCCACCACACTATGTCGGGGGGCGTGGCTTCTGTCTCTCACGGAGGTGGTGTAACTATGCCGACTTGGGATCTTAAATGCATTTAAGTAAATATGTAACTACTGGGGGAGGAAAATTCCACAGTTCCACATGGGGGCACAGCTGGCTCCCCGCCGCACCAGCGGCCTGCACGTGACTCTGAAGGTTAACCCATGAACCCGGGTTCTTCATTTAACTGTGTGCACGGTTACACTGTCATATCCCTAATGCCGACACCTATCGGCACGACGCGGCTTCACCAGACTCGCTCCAGCCGGCCGGGGCGGAGCAGGGTAGCCCCAACTGCCCTTGGACGTGGTCTACACCACCACTTGTGTCGGTCTAATGACACGGCTCGGGGATGTGGGAAAGCCAAACCCAGCCGTGTTACTTCATTTAGTATCGCTGTGTTCGGAACGTAGCAGAACCCCAGTCCAGGGAAGATTGTATACGGCTGAAGACAATGATTGTTCAGACATACAACCCCCCCATTCACAAAGCCGTGACAGTCTCGTCATGAGCTGCAGCCGGGAAGCGTTCTTGACAGGCTCTCTCCAATCCAGGAGCAGCTCTTAGACTGTAGAAGATTTCAGCCCCATCTGAGAACATGAGCCTTACGACAAGCCCGGGGCTTTGGTGCCTTATTAAGCAGACAGAAGCCTGTGCATGTAGCCCACCCCATGCTTCTTTGGCTGCTTGGCTTACAGCATCAAAACTTTAAAAAACCCACCAAAAAACGATTAAACTCCAATTAAAGAGTAATTACATTTACTGACTGCAAAGGACCTAACTCGCAGAATAAGCTGGCTGAGTGGGAAAAGTATTTTCTTGTGGCAACTCACACGCAACGGCAACGTATACCTTTGGGGGAAGACACTTTCATTCTAAGGCTGCCGAGTTCCTCTAAGTGGGTTTCTGAAGTTCATCAAGTCATTATTAGGCGGCATTTTAAGGAAGTGGAGAAACACAGACACTGTTAGAGTTCCAGAAACTGCGTTTATATTAATCTGTCTTTTAATTGTACAGCCGCTGCTGCCTTCAGACTCCCCATGCACCAAAGGGAAATACATTTAAGAGATGAACCGCACTCTTTTCTAGCATTCTGTCTGCTTGACTTGTTTTGTTCCTTTCTTAGGGGAAGTTTTTCCTGCCGCTCACTCAGCGTGAATGGGTCACTCACCCCTCACCATTACTGCCTCGTGGGAGAGCTGGCCCCAGCCCTGTGGGGAGAGCCCCATGCTGAAGCTCTGGAAAGGGGCAGAGGAAACCTCACATGACCTCTGTCCTCAGGAATGGCTTCCCACGGCTTTCCGGGCACGACTGGCAGGTCCTTGACTTTGCAGCTGCACCGGAAAGGGGCGCAGGGCCAGGAAGGGGCATGTGGCTAGATGGGGACATGGCCAGATGACACCGTCTGGGGGCTAAGAGAGGACAGAGCAGGCAGTGCAGGGGAGCTGGGTTCTATTCCCAGCTCTGCCACAGACTCACTGTATGACCCTGGGTAAGCCACCTCCCCCTCTCTGCTGTGCTGCCCTACGGGGCAGCGGGGCTAAAACCCCACCGAGGCTTTGAGTTTTGGCCTTGCCAATCAATCCCCAAGCGCGAACCCCACAGGCGCCAGCTGTCCCCACCTGCGCCTGAGTCACAGACAGCCCTCTGCCCTGCCAATGGGCTCTCACGCCCAGGCTCACCTGATCTACTGGTTGGTGACCACGGCTTTAGTGCTTATTTAATTAGTTAGCTAGGGTCAGACTCTACCGCCCAAGTCTACCAGCGAGAGAAATCGAGTTGCCAGCTGCCAGAGTGTCATTTTCTTATTTCATACGATGTCACACACGCCCGGGACATTGCGGCCACAGACCACATCGCTGACGCTGTAAGTCTAGTCCCTGTGTTACTTCAGCAGAACTCAGCTGCCCAAAGGAAGCCCATCCACTACATGATGGCAGTGGGGATTACGTCCCGATTGAGCGTACTCCAAGCACAGTCGGTCTTCAGGTGTTTTGGTAGCTTGGAATCAGAGCTGCAACACAATGAACATGGGAGTGGGACAGAGGGGAGCTTGCTCGCTGCAGAAGTTTTACGGACACTGTACACTTAGTGTTCTGAGGACTCCTCCGTTAGGTTAATACAATCAGAATTTTTCTTTAAAGGGTCTAAGGACAGCTGTCAGCCGGCAACTCGGGAGACTGCTGCAACTGCACACGTCAAACATTTCTGTAACACTTCAGACTTAAGTTTAACAAAAGGGAAGGGCTATTGTGGTTGTGCGTGTGATTTACTTCTTACCATTCCTAATGGACTGTTGCTGCATCCACAGCTCCACACAGGTCATGAGGATTACGGACTATTTTTTAAATTGATAAAAAAATCCACTTTTTTTTTTTTTAAAACAAATCAGATAAAGTAGACCCTCTTCCGTGTAGTAAAATGCTGGGCTGCACATTAGCACATTTTAGTGATCAGATTTGTGCCATTGTTTGAAGAAATATATGAAAACGTATGATGGGGGGGGGCATTTAAATCATGATTTAAATCAATCCACCCTGGTTTGTTTAGTAAAACGACGAGGGCGATCAGTCCGTGTCCCCGTTTTTAGGGAACATGCCTCAGGCAAAATTTGTCCCTGGGCAGAGGGGCCAGACCCAAACATCCGGAGGACACTCTTCTGGAATGGCTAGGCCTGGAGCACAGTGTCAAGTATTCTAACAGATCTGATCCAGGAATTACTCTGTGGCAGTTCTCTGGCCCGTGTTATCCTGGCGGTCAGACTAGCTGATCACAGTGACCGCCTTTGACCTTGGAATCTACAAATCAGCTGTGAGGAGCATCTACATGACAGCAGAGGGAAGGGCTGGGCAGCAAGCGGGAACTCCTCTTGGCTGAAGGAAGGTTGCTCTATCAAAACTTCTTGTCCCACTTCCAACAGAAGAGCGATCACCCAGAAACGCCACTGCACGGCTGGCGACCACACGACTGCCAAACTCTTGAGTGGTGGGAGAAGGCGGCCAGCGACGGATCTACACTGGATATTCAGCCAGGTGGAGCCAGATGGTATTCAATCTCCAATGAGGCAACGTCCTTTGGGATTTGCCTCCATGATCAGAGCAAAAGGGCTGAAACCGGAAATCTCTTAAGGCCCAAAGACCTGTGCCTAACACAGGGTTCAGCCTACATTCACCTCCACAAACCGCGTGGTCTCTAGACCACAACAAAAGCCATATTTTAAAGACATGTTGCCTTATTTATTTAGCACGTACACAATCATTTTCCCTGGCCATGCTTCTGACAAACCCTCACATGATTAATACTGAGAGAGTCGGTCAGAGTCAAACACATTTGTGCCTCCAGTGCTGTAGATTCCAAGGCCAGAAGGGACCTCTGTGACCCTCCCGCCTGGCCTCCTACATCACACAGACCAGAGACCCTCCCACCGGGATCCCTGCATCACGCCAGAGCTAGAGCGTGCCGTTTATTCCATTGCAGTGCCACCCAAGCACTGCAGGTGTTTTCCCAAGGCAGCGCCAGACAGCCCCTAGCTGGTCACTTAGTGCATTAGATCACACTCGGCTTGGACGAGGAAGCAAGACTAATAGTTTCATTTGCGGGGACTCGTGCGGGAACACGCTGCTGCAATGTTTAGTTTGGAGGGGGAAAGCAAAGGAATGTTTGAATCCCCCAGCTCCAATTTTTATTGCACAATTTAAAACTTTATGAGAGGATTTCTTGCAAATGTAGGTCAATTTGTACAGACCCATAGTTTGGACCCAAATCCTCGAGGCAATGTCCCTCTAAATATACTGTACAGCATGTGCCTGTTTATAGATTTCTCTCTCACACACACACACACACGTACGTTACCCACAATGCTCATTACGGCGGTTGCAGTGCGTTTCTGCTACACTCCTGTTCTCCCCCATTGATAACTTTTGGAAGCACTCGCCCTCGGGGGATTCCGTTTTCTATGCTTAAGGGTTTGGGGAAAGTTTGAACAACCCTCCCCCCCAGAATGGCTTTCAGTTACAGAGAAGGGAATACAAAAGCATTTGTTTTCACACTGGGGAAAGAAGGGATGGTCTCTGGGGAGAGTTTTATGCCTGCAGGAGGGAGAAACAAGGTGTGGGCAGAAAAGACTTTTACTGGACCAACAGACTTTCGTGCTAACACGGAGCTCTTCTTCGGGCACAAACAAGCCAGTGCAGCCTGTCGGACCACACGCTGCAAGGCACGGGACCAGCACTAAGGTACCCGATCCATCTGCCACTGAATTGGGGGGCCAAATGGAGCTCTGGGTCTTGCTGGGGGATGAGGGTTAGTTACCGCTGGCAGGGAGGGTAGAGGACGTGAGCAGGGCAGCAGAGCGTGTATATCATCCAGAGAGCTCAATGTGTTTTACTAGTGAGGGTAAGTTTTATCCCTCTAAGGGAGAAACGGAGGCACCCAGGAGGAAAACGACTTGCCAAATCACACACGGAGTTAAAAGAAGAGTGGGAACAGAGCCCAGCCCAAGGTTTTAGCCAGTGGGACACGTCACATCAGAACAGCCCATAGTGACAGAGCCAGGGGGCTAGCAGGGCCAGCGAGGGTCCTCCAGGGTTTGTGGTGTCTGAACCGTCCAAGATCGATAGCTCCAGCCTCCTCTTGAAAACCTCCAGAGAAGGAGCTTCCACGACCTCCCTACACCTCTGTCCCATCGTCTCCCCGTTCTTCTAGTTCGGAAGCTTCTCCCGAGGTTTAATCCGACTCTGCTGTCCTGTGCTTTGAGCCGTCTGCCTCCTCTTCTGCCCTCTGTGGCAAGAGGCAGGAGTACGAGACCTTTGGCTTTTTTATGGCAACCTTCCAAGTACAGGCAGTTGCCGTCATTCGTGGGGGATACGTTCTTCACATGGCTGTGAAAAGTGAAATCCGCGAATACTGGGGAAGGGAGTTCCCGTCACATCACCACATTTTCCATATAAAATGATGTAATGATGCAAGAGATTAATGTTTACATGTTATACTGCAATAAACACACAGAATAGCTGCAATCTTCCAGTCCGGCCTCACCGCAGCTTCCATTTCCTTGTTAATGTTCAGGCTCTGTTCCTCGAGTGCACTGAAAAGGCGCCATCACACTGCATCCTATGCTTGGGCTGGTGCAGTGCACCACGAAAATATGAAACCGCGAATGGCAAGGGCTTCAAAAACCACTAACATATCCCCCTGGACTCTTCTCGTTCCAACGAAACACAGCCTCTTCCTTCAACCGCAGCTCAGAAGCTGGCATCCCAGCCCTTTGATCATCTGTCTCACTCGTCTCTCAGCCCCTTCCACTTCCTGTAGATCCTTTCTGTACATTGGTGTCAGAAATCGGACAGAGTCCTCCAGCTCGTACCTAATCAGCGCCAAGTAGAGCAGTATCATCATAGGATCATAGAATCCCAGGGCCGGCAGAGACCTCAGGAGCCATCGAGTCGAGCCCCCTGCCCAAAGCAGGACCAACCCCAACTCCATCATCCCAGCCAGGGCTTGGTCAAGCCAGGACTTAAACACCTCTAGGGATGGAGACTCCACTACTTCCCTAGGTAACCCATTCCAGTGCTTCACTACCCTCCTAATGAAATAGTTTTTCCTAATCTCTAACCTGGACCTCTCCCACCACAACTTGAGACCATCGCTCCTTGTTCTGCCATCTGTCACTACTGAGAACAGCCTCTCTCCATCCTCTTTGGAACCCCCTTCAGGAAGTTGCAGGCTGCTATCAAATCCCCTCTCACTCTTCTCTTCTGCAGACTAAACAGACCCAACTCCCTCAGCCTCTCCCCATAGGTCGTGTGCTCCAGCCCCCTCAGCATTTTGGTTGCCCTCCGCTGGACCCTCTCCAATGTGTCACATCCACAGGTACTGACAATCCCATGGCTTGCATGCAACATAACACTGCATTTGCTTCTTTGTAACAGCATTGTAACAGCCAACTCACGTTGAGGTTGTGACCCACCGCAACTCCCAGATCAGTCTCAGCCGTGCTGCTGCCCAGCCAGCTATCCCCCATTCTGTATTTGTGCAGCGGAGTTTTCTCCCCGAAGGACGGCGCTGTGCACCTTGGACTTTGTGGCGTTTCGTTTTGTCCTCGATAACCCAGTTTTCCAATTTATCGCGATTCTCCCAAAGCATTGGCAACCCTCCCTAGCGCTGTGTTAGCTGCAAAATTTGATCAGCACGCCTTCTTTTCCTACACTCAGATCCTTAATAAAGATGCTAAACACCACCAGACCACCAGGCCCACTGTGGGACCCCACTTGAGACCTCCTCCCACTCCAGCACCATTCAAGCCATAGTCACTCTGCGTCTGCGGCCACATGACCAATTCTGTATCCACCTCATGGCAGTTCTCTCCAGCCCACATTTCTCCAGCGTGCTTAGCAAAATGCCACGTGGGACTGCGCCAAAAGCCTTGCTACAGTCCCGGTATATTGCAACCACCACATTCCCCCTAACCAACCAAAGCAGCTAACCTGCCAATGAAGGCAATCATGCTGGTTTGGCCTGATTTGTCCTTAGTAAACCCACGCTCCTCTTTAAAGATGGGCACCATGTTAACCCTTCTCCAGGCTTCTCCTATCACCCACAAACCTGTAAATATGATTATTTCATTTTGACAGCTGTATTAGAGAAAACCTTCAGTGTACATACTAATGCTAATTCTTAATTCTTTGAGAGAGAGAGAGAGAGAGAGAGAGAGAGAGAGAATGAATCACAGACTCCTAGAACAGGAAGGGGCCTCAAGAGGTCATCAAGTCCAGTCCCCTGTCCTCATGGCAGGACCAAATACTGTCTAGACCATCCCTGACAGGTGCCTGTCCAACCTGCTCTTAAATATCTCTAGTGATGGAGATTCCACAACCTCTCCAGGCAATTTATTCCGGTGTTTAACCACCCTGACAGGCAGAAAGTGTTTCCTAATGTCCAACCTAACCTCCTGTGCTGCCGTTTAAGTCCAATGCTCCTGTCCTATCAACAGAGGTGAAGGAGAACAATTTTTTCCCTTCTCCTTGTAACACCCTTTTAAATACTTGAAAACCACTATCATGTCCCCCCTCAGTCCTCTCTTTTCTAAGCTAAACAAGCCCAATTCCTTCAGCCTTCCCTCATAGGCTCATGTTTTCTAGACCTTTCATCATTGTTGTTGCTCATCTCTGGACCCTCTCCACATCTTTCTTGAAACATGGTGCCCAGCACTGGACACAAGACTCCAACTGAGGCCTAATCAGCGCAGAGCAGAGCAGAAGAATGACTTCTCGTGTCTTGCTCACCACTCTCCTATTCATGCAGCCCAGAATCACGTTTGCTTTTCTTGCAACAGTGTCACAGTGTTGGCTCGTATTTAGTGTGACCCCAGGATCCCTTTCTGCAGTACTCCTTCCTAGAGGGTCACTTATCCCTCCCTTTTAGAGGCTAAGGGTCTCAGCCTCGGGACCTTGTGTCATTTTCATCCTCTCAGTGCCCTATTTGGGAAGAGGTGGATAAGGACTAGGTGAACAATGGCCCTTCGTGGTGAACGCAATCAGGTAAACAAGAACACAGTCACATCCTGCAAAGAAAATCATCTTTAAGTTTTTAAAATTTGTCTTATCACAAGATTAGAGGGTTCTGGTGTCATCAACCCAGAGCAGTGAGACTCATGGGATAGGACAGCAGATCCCTCGACTCACAGCGTTATTTGGAACATGCTCTATTTAACCTTCCACCCCAAACTGCAGGGTTGGAGCTGTGTCGACAGGCTGACACGTACCTTTCTCTGCTCTCTGGAGAGGATCCCCAGTACCTCTCCCTGCACTGAGGAACCACACAATTAAAGAGGTTGTCGACAGCCGTTGTGTACGAGTAAAAAACAACAGCTTTGCCACAAGAGC